TTGTGGGGCCCCAAGGTACCCCTGAAGCTAATGTTTGGGGGCGAAATGCCCCCCCCCCCCCCCCAATAATAGGGCTTGAGGACACACGGTTATCCCCGAATAGTAGGACTGGACGGCCTAAGGGTACCCCCATAGTATAACTTGAGGGCAGAAGGGTACTTCTCAACAAGCAGGACTTTGGGCCCTAAGGGTGTCCCTATAGTAAGACTTGAGGGCCTAACGGTGCCCCCTTATAGTAGGACTTCAGGACCCAATGGTACCCCTGAATAGTAGGAGTTGAGGACCTAAGGGTACCACCTATAGTAGTACTTGAGGATGAAAGGATACCATCAATAGTGAAGCTCAAGGACCTGAGGGTACCTTCTATAGTAGAGCCCGAAGACCCAAGGTAACCTCCTATAGTAGAGCTTGAGGATCCAACAGTGCCTCTCTAGGATAGTCCTTGAGGATCTGTGGATACTCCTATAGGATAGCCCTTGAGGACCTATGAGTACCCTCGTAGGATAGTATCTATTTTAATTTCAAGTTCAGTTCATTCGAAAAGAACTGTTTAGAAAGTTCAGTTCGTTCAAAAGAGCTGTTCGAGCAGTTCTTTAGCTCACTTGAACGGAGTTCGTGAACTGAGCTGGTCCACCCCTAGTATAATCATATCATTTTTAGAAATATGAATTTAAATAAACGACACGTGATTGATAGTCAATCATTGAATAAACAGACAAAGAAATTACGAAGTAAGCTATCTTTATATATATATATTCGTATAAATATATGATATATTCTTGATTATTTTTGTTCTAATTTTACTAGCAACATTAAAGTAAGGATGAAAATAATTCTCTGACGTTATAAAATTTATGTCCGTATGTAGTCAACCGATCACATGTATTGAAAATTTGCCAAATGAAATTTTTTATGAAATTTTTACTTATCTCGAAGGTTGTAAATTATATGAAGCATTTACGAATCTTAATATTCGTTTTCAACGTCTTCTGAATAGTTCATATGTATCACTCAATATTCAAATATCATCTTTTCCAGAGGCCATCCTTGAACATCGTTGTACAGATATTATTGTACCAAATAAACATCAAATCATTTCGATTTTAATAGTAAACTATTGTGATAATGATAAAATTTTTACATTATTTACTATCGATTCATCATTCACTCAACTCGAATCACTTGTTCTTAAAAATGTGAATGTGAACAAAACTATAACAATTCTTTCAAATTTAATTTCTCTACTTCGTCTTTTTTCTTTAACTATTCATCTTAATAATAATTGTCAAGATCTCAACAATATATACAGACTAATTTTTCGTTTACCAGTCTTGAAATCATTTAGAATTTTATTAAAGAACTTTGTCAAATTTACTCTGATGTCAATGGCATTTAATGAACAGTATAGTTCTATTGAATATATGAATATTGGTCATCGTTGTACTCTTAATAACATCATTTCTTTACTTTCCTATACACCTCGACTATCTTATTTAACTTGTGAAGAACTGTTTGAATTGTTGTATAATATTCCAATCCTAATACCAATCACACTATCTAATTTAATACATATTTCTATTGGATTTTGTAACATTCGATTTGAACATTTTGAAATCTTCATTCAAAAGTTTTGTACACAAATAGAAGTATTACGAATAATGACATCGAATTATTTTGCTTATCTTAATGTGAATCGATGGGAACGATTAATCCAAGATTATATGCCTCATATGCATCAATTTTATTTTCAACATCATAAATTTATTGATCGTTGGACTATATTTTTACCATATCGATTGCTAATTAATCGATCGACTTCACCATTTTGGATCAACCGACGATGTTTCTTTGATTGTCACCTTGATATAGATAGTCGTTCTCATGGACAACTGATTTATTCTTTTCATTTTTCAAAGTAAATTAAAAGAGTTATTAGTATCGATCATTTTGTTTTGTTTTTTACTTCTAGGAATAAAATGTTAACTTTGAATAAATATATAAAAAGTAAAACAAACTTTAATGATAGTGTTATTGTCACTGATGCGAAATATGCAGCCAAGATTATTCAATTGACTGTTACTTCTTTAGATTTTACTCAATGTACTGTAATAATGGCAGAGAATATCCGATCATTTATATTAACAGCGCAATTTAGTCATTTGAATATTAATTGCAAATGGGTATCTATTAGTACATTGATCAAACTTGTTTGGTATTTAACCAATCTTTATTCATTACATCTATCAAATTTAACTATATTGGAAATAAAAAGTTTATCTATTGATGATATAGAAATCTTTCGTTTAGCCTCAAAAGAAAACAAAATAAAATTATCGAAGTATATCTTTCACAGATGATTGAATTTAAGCAAGCTCAATTTTTAATTGATCTTTGTCCTCGTATGCAATATTTAACAGTGGAATGTTTAACAGGAGTAAATATTGAGATGCTCGTTCGATTTATTTTGATGGAAAATTGTGCAAACATTTCTAGCTTTTGTATGTTATATCTTTACGGTTCAGTTTGTAAATTTGAGATGATCGAAAATTTAAAAATAATAATCAATCGAGAACAACAACTAAATGATTATACAGTTAAATTTATACATGATAAATTCTATTTAGAACGAAAAAAACAATGATCTATATATTTTGATAAATTATTTAATCTTGATTAACACTAAAAATGATACATATTTAATAAATATTGTAAATATGAATATCTTATTTTTTTTAATATTTTATGAAGCATTTATTTAATAAAAAAAATCATCAGACATATTGATAAATGAATAAGTTTAAATATTCATATAATATATTATTGAGTAGGATGCAAGTATGTTTTATTGCAGATGAATAGAACACTCACAGCCATACTCAAAATAACAATGAACTAATAGCCCTGGATCTTCTATTGATATACAAGTATTTTTCACTCTATTCGACTGCAACTCTAGTGAAAACAAGTAATAGAAAGATTTTTAACTCTGATCTTGAGAAAATGTTTTTCTATCTATATAGTAACTTTAAATTCAATTTATATCATTCTCATGTTTTCCGCATTTTTTTAATCTTTCATTATATATAATAAACATCATCTAATAGATTTTATTAGAATGTGAATACAGTTCTCCTTTGAACTCTCAGTGGAATGAATATCTGTAAGTGAGAACAATCTTTTGTGGCAACCATTTCACGCTGATTTTGTATAGTTTATTTTAGTGCTCTTCAAACATATTTACTCAATAATTAAAAACAACAGTAGATAGAATCTTTTTTGGAATATATCTTCACTATTTATTTGAAATTAACTAAAAATGTCAAGCATTTATCCGAGCTGTATCTATTGAGAATTCATTTTTCAAATGTTTTTTTTTTCTTACTTTGACGATAATAATCTACAATAGCTCTGTGTGAGAATCAGCAGATGCATAACCTTATGTTCTATTGATTAAAGACAATCCTAAATAAAAACGCCTTGTGGAGTTTATTTTATTGATACTTACATTTAATTATAGTTTGGATGGAATCTAATATCAATAATAATTGCTGAAATCATCAATAGTTTTCTTAAAATCAATTGAAATATGATCAACTTATAAAATCTGCTTCATATAAAAAAGATTTATCTTATCGACTTGAAAGATGTGCAACGTTGAAAGTGAACTATTTATTTTGTTATCAATTTGAGTATTCTAGAACATGAGTATTTGCATTTATACAAATCCATGAACGATTATTTTTCAGTAAATAGTATTGCTTTTGATTAGAATGTTATTAGTTTTCGTTTTTCAAAACAAATAAAATCTCATTTAATTTATTTCAGGTTTTTTCTTTGTTCTACAGAAAAAAAAATTCCAAAAAAGGGCATAAAGACGTCGTGCATAATGATGACTCATTAGGTTTTTTTTTCATTACCAAATATGGTCACATTTTACCTGTATAAAAAAAGAAGGCAAACGATTAATATTTTCATAGAAAAAATGGACGAAGAAGAACAAATGGTAGATTCATTCTCAACACCAGATGATATATCTGATGTTACTCTGATTGTTGAAGACAAAAGAATCTTTGCACACAAATCCATTCTTGGTAAAAATCTTATTTTATCAGTTTTATTTTTAATTTAAAAAAAAAAAAATCTTTTTAGCAAAAATTTCTCCCGTATTTAATCGAATGTTATATTCAAATGGATTTCGTGAATCTCAAACAAATGAAATTATTCTTCCAGGTAAACAATACTTACATATAATTGAATTATTAAAATGTATTTATCCTAATATATTGAAATCAATTGATAATTCTAATGCAATGTATTTACTTCCATTATCTGATGAATATTCAATAGTTATACTTAAAAAAAATATTGAACGTTATTTTATTTCAACAATTAATTCAATATCATATAAATATGGTGATAATTTAACACGTTTATTTGATTTATTATCATTATCACAACTTTATCGATTAAATAAACTTGAAGAAAATATTTGTGAACAATTAACAAATCATTTTGATATTGAACAATGGAATAAAATTGATCTTTCAATTGATTTACGTTGTCATTTATTAGAATTATATGCTAAAAAACAACAAATGAAATTGAAAGAAAAACAAAATAAATTAAATCAATTAGAAGATTTGTGTTTAAAACAAAAATTTGAAATTCAACGTTTAAAAAGTCAATCAGAAATTAATCAATAATAGTGACTTCATTTTGTCTTATATTTTTTTGTCAAATTTGTTCTAAATACTACTAAAAAAAAAACATTATTGTGATTCTACATTTGATATTAACGAAATAAATCATTTAATTATTTGAATAGATTTTCCAGATAAAAGTAGTTTGGTGTTGGTGTTCAGGTCGAGCTACAATAGAAACTAAAATTCCTACTACTAGAGAGAAAATACCTATATTTTAACCTTTGTCCCTAATGTTTTACTACACACAGAGCTTGGTAAATCCTGATTGTCAGTACTAATTCCAAGCCGAATAATCATAATACACCGGATTCTCAAAACAAAAATATTTTTTTTTCCTTGGAACCCAAAAAAAGACTTTTTTGACACTTTTATAGTTTCACATTATTTTAAACCGTTGATATTTATCCTTTTATTAACAAATAAAGATTCACATGTTTTTCTTGTATCACAAATAATTAGACTCGAATCAACTATGATTCTAAGATTTAGTGATGTTTTCATCATCTGGAACAGTTTTTATATAGATCTCTGCATGCTCTACCAATGTTATTATTAAAAATAAACCAAGTATTTCATCAATGAGTATTTGATATAATTGAAATTTAATTTTAAAAAAATAAACGATGAAACTTTTTTTAGTTAACATATATAGAATTAATTCTCAATTTTTAGAAGTTGTTGCTTTATTTTATCAGAGAAAAAATAGATTATCAGAAAATATTTAACAAAAAACATAAGTTTGTGTTTTGACTGTTTGTGCTTATGATAGATCAGTAAAATAAACTCAAAAGATATTTAATTATACTTCAAATAATAAACGATCAATTATAACGCAGAATAAATTTGAAAGTTAAGATCTTTTTAAATAGTCTTTATGTGATCATATTGACCAGTTATTTGAAACTTATTCAATCATTCATTTATTCAAAACAAAAACTCATTCACATATATCTGCTTCATATATTTCTCTTTTTAATAGCTTTTTGTATATTTAAAAATTTAGATTTATTATTTGAAATTTATAATAAATTAATAAAATCAAATATATTATTAGCAGATGATCAACGTTCAGGTATTATTATATCAACAGCAAACATTTCTTCCTCAATTGATGATCATTATTTCTTCTTTAATTTGTACGACAATACTTCTATTATGAGAAAATTCCGAAATATTTCGACGTAACATAGACAGAAATCAGTGAAATAATGTATAAATTTTATGCTCGAGATATTCTATATCCTTCATAATAAAAAGAAAATTCTGAACAATTAGAGATATTACATAATTAATTTATAGAATTAGTCTATCAATCTAACTAAATCATGGTAATCAAAGGAGAAATGAATGGTGATTGAACTATCAATGTTCATTCAAAAAGACAAGTTGCTGCATTTAATATAAAATCAATACCACATGATATCACAACACATTTAACAAAATACTTATCAATGCATCATATTGATCGTCATTGAATATAAAAATTTTTTTTTTTTTCGATAAAAAAATCCAATAATTCTACGAGATCAACTAAGAATAGATTATTTTACCAAAGATAGAAATTGTTTATATGTTGCTGTAGTGATTATTCTTCTGATCTTTCATGTGTTTCTTCTAGTTCATGCTCTTGTGAGCCTCTTATTCCATTGTAACTAATTGTACATTACAACACACAGTTATTGTTAAAACAGCAGAAGTCATTCAACAATAATCTATAAGATCGTGGCACGTCGAAATATTTACTTAACAACATTGAAATCAATAATATCCTTCCATAAAAGAGTTATAACGAGTATTTTTCGGAATTATAATAACACAACCGCATAGCGAAATCGTCACAATAACTTTATCAAATAAAAATAAAATTGACTGTTCCTAAAAAATGTAACCTTGAACAAAATTGTTTGTGATCAAACTTCTCTTCCTAATGAATGACATCATTATCATTATGAAGACCGTGACATTTTTGCAGATGAACACTAAATGCAAAATAACTCGTGTAAAATATAACACGCAAACAGTTAAACATGAACTTTGTTAATAAATAAAGTTCCACCTTTAAAAAAAACAAGTTGTTTTGCTGAACCATTTAAGGTTGTAGCATAATCTTTAGTCGACATAGTTCTTTAAATTATCTAGAACTTTTGATGGTTTATTAATAAATGAATGGAACCATTAAAAGATCAACATATTCTCTAAAATCATGGATGATTCCTTATGACACCTTTTCTTTTTTAAGAGACGAAAATATTTGTGATTCTTATTAAATACTTGTGCACGTATTTTCATCGTTTGAGTTCTATGCTAAAAGATGCACAGTTTTAAAGATTTTCAAAAACTGAATTCATTTCTTTAGAGACGCCATTAGTCGACGAGGTTATATGCAAATTATCAACAAAAGAACGATCATCAACCAGAGATTTCCCTTCCCTTGTAGAGGCACGATCAATTACTAAAACTTATTGTAATAACCAGTGACATAGAGAATTTGTAGAGAATTTTTTTCTGATTCTTTTGAGAACTTCTTTCTCTAATTGTAAGGGACAACCAAAGACATGAAAAATCGTAAAATTCCATCAAAATATGATAAACGCCATGTTCTTTTTTTTTAACTTTATTGTAACTCAAAAAAAGTATGAAGATTTTGATCTTCGACATTCGTCGGAAGTATATCTAAAAATTGTAATATTTTAGATTTACAAGCTACATCAATCATATGATCTCTTATTTGGGCTAAAACATCGAAAAACAATTTAGTATCGGTCCGTTCTAAGTAAAATTCGGTGGTTTTCTTATAGGTAATCTTTGAAAAAAAAACACAACCAGATTTAGACAATTTAAAGATAGAAGAAATTAAAATCATAATGATTATATAGAATTAGTTTAAAGAAAGAAATTTCGGAACATACCGTTGTAGAAAAAGTCAATATTTATCAATGATTTTTCTTTCTAATGATTATATTTAAAAACTAAACAATCATTTCGTCTATTTAGTTTGTTTATTTAACATATAAATGTCAAAAAAAAAAAAAAAAGAAAAAGTATAATAAATCTCGATTAATAATCACTTAAGAATCTTTAATATGATTAACTAATTGAATACAATTTGGTAATGTTAATATGAAACGTTGAAGAAAAGATAATTGAGATTGTTTATAGGAATTTAAAAGAAAAAAAGCTTCGTTTAAGTGAAACCAATGTCTTTGACGACCAATTAATATTTTTTCTTCCCAATCATCATATTCATGTTCAACATAAACAACAAAAACATGAGTTCGCCATTTTCTTTCAAAAGTTTCAATAACTCCTAAATCACGAATAATTCTTCCTTTAACACCAGCTTCTTCAAATAATTCTCTTTGAGCTGCTTCATTTGTTGATTCATTTTGTTCAATACCACCACCAGGAATTATCCAAGAAGTTTTATGTCGAGATGTTATTAATAAAATCTTTTAATAAAAGAAAAATAAATTTTTAAATAAAAACTTTCTTTAATTCTTACTTCATCTTCACGTTCATTTCTTACACAAATACAAGCAGCTCTTTGTCGATAACCATCATCATCAATAGAACGTATTTTATTATTATCTTTTTCACTCATTTTTAATTGAATAATTTAGAAAAATAAATAAATATATAAAAACATATTAATAATTAATATTATATTCTTAGAAGACAATAACGATAATTAACTATATTTTGACAAATAATTATCATTTTTCGTTACATTTTTTGCTCTCTATTTCACACTAAAAAATAAACATTGGTTTTTTTTCTATTAATTATATTTACATAGACAATTCAAATGTTTGATTAACTCTATTACTCTGTACAGCGGTTCCAGAAGAGTCACTCAGAAAATAACTTTAGAAATAGATCGTTAACCTGTCTAATATACTAATCATGTGATCTCATACACCGAGTGTTCATCTCTTTTTTTAGAAATGTTTGATTGATATAGCTAGACGTGTGATGGAGAAAGAGAATTGAACAACATCCTAAATCTTAATTTTTTTTCTTTGACCACGTTATTGAATAGGAGGCAAAAGAAACATCTATCCCATATTATTGGACTAGTGAAAAAAAGTAAGAAGGAAATCTATAAAAATTAATGTCAAAATAAAATATATGTTTTTGGATAAATTTTGTTAAATAAACATCTACTTTTTATTGACCCATTTTATAACTTCTGAAAATATATTCAATTCAATAATAAATACTATTTCAAGTTCTCATAGGCTGAAGTATATATATATATTAGGCTTGTTCTTGATTATCCTTCAACTGTCAAATCGTGGGTTCATGGTCAATTCTATACCTTAAAATGCTCAATTCATCGATTTATCATGAAGCTTTCGAAACACATCTAACTCACTAATGGACTTCTTCATTATTTTCAAAATAATCGATTTTATAGGACCGATATTTCAAAGATGAAGAGATGAAAAAACAAAACATTTTTCTATCAATCAATAGTCCATGAAGTTTGCTATAAAAATATTCTTGTCGCATTCAAATTCCATGGATTGTTTGTTTGTTTGTTTTTAGGAATCGTTCTACGAATGGTCGTTCCAATGACCAACGTCGGATAAACGGTTAATTGCGTTAGATGTCAATAAAATATTGACAAAAATTTTCTCGGACTCAAGAGCCATCTATATGAATATAAAGCATTAGTTAATTAACTATGCATTTTACCAGATTTTTTCAAGCAACATATCATAATTTTGAATATACTTCAAAAGACGATCTATTTAATATCGAACTCTATTTTATGATTTACAGTAGTAATGATAGAAAACTTGAATTCCTATTTATTTATTCTAACAGATTTCTTTCGAACAAGATGAGTTAGATTTCAATAAATAATGATTACATACAATGTACTACCTAAACATTTTTAGCACTATGGCCATAATTTAGTTGTTTATATAATTATTCTACCAGTTTTATTTTAATTTTTCCACTGCAGTAAACCCTCATAAGAGTCTCAATAATGATTTAAATAAAGAATTTTCTTTAGAATAAGAATTTTCGAAGATGAAAACGGTTGTTAATTTCCTCATGATAGACTCTTTAGAAAATCCCAAATTAGATTTTCATCTTTTGAAATCCACAAGTAAAATTCTGTTTTAATCATCTAAAGTGATTGATTAACTAGTTCTGTACAAAATAATGCGTCTTCCAACTTTCTACAATATCCTTTTTAACCACGATACATTGACCTTACGTAAAGCACAAAAATGATATTTCCATATGAAATAACATAAAAGCAATGACTTTTCTGTCTACCATAAGATTAATGTACGTATCTCGGTCAACAAACGTCGCGGATAGTCGAAAGATGTTTCATTTTGTCGAGAACTATTTACTCAATCATTTTACATAATTTAATAATCATTTTATTTGTGAATTTTAATAACTGACCAAGTTGGTTTGGAGTTTTCCATAGAGTTTATCTTTGAAAAATTACTCATCATTTTTACCTTCGAAAATTGTTGTTGAAAATATGACTCTCTACTTAAATTCTTATTTGAATTCTCATCGAGATTTACAACAATGAAAAATATTCAAACGAAACTGTTCTGTGTAAATAATAGAATTGATTTATATTAAGCAGAATTTATAAACTATGATTTTCTTTGTTTAGGTTGTTATTTAAAATGAAGCAGTCTTTATATAGAAAAAGAAAAATAGTCCATAATTGAATAAGTTTCTATTTAATCTTTAGATAGTTAAAAATCAACTGTTAAAAGACACTGACAATGTTTAAATAGTTGATTATTTTAAACAAAAATAATAAATAGCTTAAAAAATAAAATTAATATTGTTAGATTATCTCTTTTGAAACATTATTTTCTACATACCTTTTCAATAATTGATTAATGATTTGTTCGACTAAATAAATAAGAATTTGATCTATATCTTTCTAAGAATTAACTCGCTTTTGACTTTGACTACGTGTTAATCCTTAATGTCACATATCTTTCTTCTTGTCTGTCTTTTTATCGATGATGAATGGACGAAGAAAGAGATAGAAAGCGCAAAAAACAACCATCATCAAATATAGGAATGCAAACAGATATGTTTTTTTGAGAGAAGCGCCTAACAAACTACCGTAAATGTAGCGAATACCAAACAATGTCTGCATTATCATTAGAAGAAAAAGACAAAGTTTATCTCTTATCTTATCGTATGAATATTTATATCACAATGACACACGTATAATAATAATAATATTTATATATATATATATATATATATATATAATATATAGATTTGTTTTTTGAAGAATACATATTAATTGTAGGTACAGAAAAAAAAGGTTGTATCACAAAAACAAAAAAAAATCTCGATCACAAAAGTTGTAAGGCATACAGAGAAGAAGATGAATATTTATCTTTTTCTATAAAAAAAGAATTTAAATCAAAAAGAGAATTAAATGTATGACGACGTTTTATTAATTGATGATGAGAAGGAGAAAATAGTTTAATATGTTGAGTATTTTTTATTGAATCTTCTTGAATAATTAAAAGTTGTTGATCAACTTGATTTATTTGTTGTTTTAATGTTTTAAGAATATTTTCATGTTGAATTAATTTTGATTTTAATAATGATGTTTGTTGATCAAAATTAATTTCATGAATTGGTGATTGATCAATAAAACAAATACTTGAATTACTTATTCTTTCATAAATATCATCATCTAACAAAAAATAAAAATAAAAAATAAAAATAAATTATTTTTATTTTTATTTAAATTAATAAAAAAATGTTTATTTTAACCTTTATTTGTCGGTAAAATAAATGTATCATTAGTTAATTTTTTTCGTAATTTTTTTTTTCGAATATTTGTTAATGTTTTTGATTTATATTTATCATTTGATAATGTAAAATAATGAAAAAAATGTGAAATATCTTTTAATGATTGTGATGGTTTTTTAATTGTTGTGTTTATTGATGAACTTATATCTGACATTGAATAAACAGCTGAATCTGTTGATGATGATACCGTTTGAATTGGTTGTTTATCATTTAATGATGAATCAACAGAACGAGATCGAGATGATTTTTCTTCTTTTTTATCTTGTCGACGATTTCTATTAGAAATTTTATTAAAAAAGAAAAATTATTTGTTTTAACAAAATAGCAGGGAAAACAAAAGGTCATGCGACTTTTGATAAAAAGAAAAAAAGAAAAAAAAAAAAAGGGGAAATCAACCAAGCTCAGCTTACAACACATTTTAATTTGGACGAACAACACTGGAATGATGGTTTTTTTATTAAATTTTATATTAGATTTTTTTTTTTTTTTTAAGAAATAAAAATACCTTTTAACAGATATATTTATTGGTTTTGATGTTTGTTGTTCAGTTGTTGTACTTAATGATGATAATGAATCGAGTAAGACTGGTGATGACCATCGTCTTTTAGCTGCACGAACAATTTGTTGAATTATTTCCGATGGTTTTGTTTCATTACTTAAAGATATTTCAGGATCGAGACCACTAATATTCAATATTGGTGGTAATTTTGGCATTTGAGGATTTATTTCAACTGGAATTTCATTATATTCATTATGATCAAAAAACCATTCATACTAATAGAATTAATTAAATTAGAAAAATAAAATCATTTTAATTTAATTAATATTATTTTTAGAATTATTCTTAGAGATTTATATTCAATAAAAATAATAATTTTCAATTTCTATATTATAAATAAAATAACTGATGCATTTAATAATATTAATCTTTAATTCAACCTTGAACTTGTACATTATTGAAAAAATAATATTTATTTTCTCTCTTTTATTTTTATTTTTTAGTATAAAAAAAATCTTACTAAGATTATTAATTTTGTTTGACAAATAAAAATAAAAATATGTAACCGGATTATTTGAATATTAATTATTTATCAAGAATCTGTTTTTGTTTTTATTTTAAAGATTCTACTAACAAGATAATATGAATCAATAATTAACATTTTTCTTTCTTATTATTATTATTATTATTCGATAGAATGAATTTTCTTTTTTATAAACGAACTCAAAACTATTAATCATACAACTCATCAGTTTATTTATTTGATTATTATTTTTACATTTAGTGAATAACGTAACATAAGAATAACGTTACTGCAATTGAAACTAAACGAAAACATATATTCACAAGAGAATATCATATTATTCTAATCTAATAGAGATTTGTATTTTTCTTTTTCAAACAAAATAAATAAAATTTTTATTGATTTATCAACGATTAATAATGAAAATTTTCTTATTAGGTTATTTTTCGTATCAAATATTTGATTATCTATTGATTAACATTTAAAATAATATTTTTTCATTCGTCTTTTTATATCCTATTGATTAACTTCAAATTAATTTTCAGTTAACATTATTCTACAATATAAAGCTTTTCCAGCAATAGAAACTCTCATTTGGACGAATTTTATCCTCAATATTATAAAAAAACTTTCTCAAATTAATTAATTTTTGCCATAATTGGAACTTTAATTGGTATATTTACATCAAGATATGCATAATTTTTAGAGTATTCAGCTTAAAACTCTTGTAAGACTCAAGTCAATATTACTTGACATTATTGAAACGTCAAATAAAATTTTAAAAAGTTCTTATCTCAAAAAAAAAAGAATCAACACTTTAAAATAATAAAAACAATAAACATACATATAAAATAAATGATTCAATAATTCTAATTTTTTCTTGATTATCAACAATATTTGATTGTAACGATTCTTTTGAGTTT